ATTTTTGGAGTTTGATCTAGGGTTTAGGCTCCTCTTAATTCTTTTATTAAGCATTATTTCGGATCTTTTAATAAAAGAAAACAGATAAAATAAGATAAGAAAATAATTTATGCTACAAAATTAATAATCTGACGATAAGAATGACAATTTGTTCACTAAAAAAAGTAATTATGGTATGTTGACTGTCCAAGAGTTATAAATACTTTAAAATACCCAGATAGCCAAATGAATTCAAGATGCTATCATGTTGCTATCAACCGTTGCAGCAATAGATGTCGACAAACGAGGGACAAGGTGCTTCCTTACTATGTGTGAACTCTTGCTCTCACTTGAATTCTTATTTTCATTAAAACAAATTGATAGCATCTTGATGACATCATTTTGTTATACGCAATGTATATACGTATGATAGCAACATGATAGCAACTATTTTCATCGGTTTGCTGTTCGCGTTTAACAGTATGTTGACAGCAATTTGATGGCAACATGAGAGCAATTTATCATCATGTTGTGGTATTTGTGATAAACAGCATGTTGACAGCAACATAATGGCAACATTTGCAAAAATATAAAAGCATTTGTATATTTGATGAAAACATGTTAATATCCGATCTCTCTTATATATTTACATAAAAATTCTATGTTTTAGAACAAAAATTGCATATATCGCATTGTAAATTTAATTTCAAAACAATACCAAGCTTATTTTCTGCAAAACATTATTCATATCTTATACTAAGTGCACATATGAATAATGCACAAATAATTATGACATGTCTAAACTTCGATTAGATATTAGGGCTGGTGATTTCCTTCGAAGGTTTCGAAAGATCGGCATTGAAATCTTCGAAATTCGAAGCTTTGAAACTTCGAAACATCGATACTTTAAACTTTGAACCTCCGAAATTCAAAATTATACAATTATTAATTTAACACCTCTACCCATCCACCGATACACGCACACATTCACATCCACCCACACACATACACGCACACACACCCATCCACAGCCACGCATCCATCCACACTCAATCATCCATCTACCACGTCACCCATTCACACACACACACACACACACCCAATCACCCACCCACACACACATCCAATCACCTATCCACACCCAGTCACTTATTCGCACCCACTCACATTCCCATCCACACACACGCACACATGCACACCACGCATGCACGCACACACACGCACGCACGCACGCACACACACTTACCCACTCACTACTTTAGCATATATATAAATTCTTTTATTTAAAATATTTGTAAATTTTACTTGTAAATTTATCATTTGCACGAACGTATTTTTTGAAACTTCGAAGCTTCGAAGGTACCTTAAACTTCGAAAGGTCGAAGTCTTTCGAAGCTTCGAATATTCGAAGTAGGTGAAAAGTAACAGCCCTATTAGATATTGGTTATATAGAGAGCTTGACAAAATTTTAAATGCGAGAAACAGTTACCAACAAACGCTATCTAGTGGCAGGTTTGTAAGTATTCATATATAATTTAAATCTGAAAAACTATATCTTTTTGCCAAAGAGTTGTCGTAAACATGTGATACTTTTTATTGTCAAAACTTTGTTAGCAACGAACTACAATTAAAAAAACTTCATAACTTGAAGACATATACACAACAACGAATGGAAAGCATAACATATGTTTTGTTGTCGACATGTTTTCATCATGCTCAAGGTAAAACTTGTAATCTTTTATTGCAAATATGTTGCTGTCATGTTGCCGACAACATAATGTACCACTATTGCTCATCGT